GAGGGCGCCCCGCCGGCTCCGGTCGTGGCGGCCCCCGCACCTCCAAACACAGAGTTCCCATTGAGCGTGGTGGCCACGGCAGCCGGGAGGTTCTTCTGGATGACGAGGCCAGCCCCCTGAGGGGACACGCCGGCCGACGCCAGGGTCACCGGTTCCGAGGGGCCAGCCGCCGAGGCCAGGTAGCCGCTGACGGGTACCTGCTTGGCCAGGAGCTGTGAGGTGGGCGTGTTGAGCGCCATGACCGGCTGGCCCACCACCTGGATGGGTGCCAGGCCTAGTGTGGCCGCCGCAGCGCCCCCGGGGCTGCCATTGGGCAGGCCCTGGAGGCCCGGGATGGGCTGCAGGGTCACATTTCCCAGGCCCACGGGCTGCAGGAAGGGCTGGACGCTCAGGGCTTTGTTGACCACGTCCTGCGGCGGCACCAGAGCCTGGTGGGTCAGCACGGTGGGCGGGGCCTGCAGTCCCAGCAGGTCGGTGCTGCCCGGGAAGAGGGCCTGGGGCCCTGCGGCCACCGCGGTTGCCCCTCCAGCACCCGCCGGGCACGCCCCGCCATCCGCAGGCTGCAGGGTGGGCAACTGGAAGGGGCCCAGGTCCAGCTCGGCCTCAGCCTCGAGTGTCTGCTCCGTGATGTTGGCCTCCTGGAGGCTCTGCTGGAGGATGTCGCAGGGCTGGTCCGCACCCCCGCTGCTCCCGCCGCCACCCCCCGTGGCGGGAGAGCCCAGGATGTCATCTTCCAGGAAGTCTAGGTCCACGCTGGGGGCCGGCTGGCTGGGCTCCGGGTTTAGGTGGTTGCCGGAAGCTTCTTGCACATGGAGCTGGAGGCCAGGCAGGTGGAAAGGAAAGAGCAGAGGTTAGACGCTGGGCCAGGGCAGCCACATAGACAAGGAGCATTTCATCTGCAAGTGGCTGGATCTGGGGTCAAATGCCACCGTGCCAGGGTGTGGCTGAGCCACCCTACGCCTGCTTGTTCTGACCTCAGTTTCCCCATCAGTACCAATCGGTAGAATGTAATAAAAGCAATTGCTGGCCAGTCATGGTGGCTCATGCCTGTGACCGACCTGGGCAACATAGTGAAACCTCTTTTCTACAAAAAAATCAAAAGATTAGCTGAAAGTGGTGGCACCTGTAGTCCTAACTACTCAGGAGGCTGAGGCGGGAGGATCCCCTGAGCCCAGGAGGTCAAGGTTGAGGTAAGCCATGATCGTGCCACTGTATTTCAGCCTGGGAAACAGAGTGAAACCCCCAACTCAAAACAAAACAAGAAAAAAAACTCAATTGGTTAAGTAGTCATACTTAAGAAGTCATAGGCCTTCAAGACCTATCTCTGTGATTACAAAACCCCAAGAGCTCTGAAAACCAAGCATGTTTCCATAACTCCTGGCAGCAAAACTGGACCAGAACTGATGTGACACTTCAGGTGGGCTGCAGTTATCCACGTCACGTGGCTCTTCCTAAGTTTAGCTGTGGAAAGGTGCGCGTGGGACATCATACACAGCGCACACCCCCCCATCGCCTCTCTAGAACCTGACCAAGACTGAATTGTGAAGCACGCCTGGCCGCGGGTTTCCTGTTCGCTGTTCCCGTGGAGTGAGGCTCATGGGAGCAACCTCTCTGCGTGACCCTGTGCACTCACTGCACCACGCACTCGACGCCCTTAAAGCCTTCATGCCATCCTGAGGTGTGATCCAGAACACGCCTGGTTGAATACAGGGCAGAAGAGGCTCATGGCACGTTGCCCCCATCACAGCTGACCAGACCACGGATGCAGCCCGCAGCCTGGAAGACTCTGCGCTTATCCACGTGGCAGGGGCACAGCTGCACCCACAGCTGGCAGGTACGTGAGAATATCATCACTTGTCGTCATTGTCATTATTATTATTCATTTATTGAGTTAGCGTCTCACTCTGTCGCCCAGGCTGGAATGCAGTAGCATGATCACAGCTCACCATAGATAGCTTTGACCTCCTGGGCTCAGGGGATCCAACCACCTCAACTTCCCGAGCACCTGGGACTACACGCACGTGCCACCACGCCCGGCTAATTTTTTTATTTTTTGCAGAGACAAGGTCTTGCTATGTTGTCCATGCTGGTCTTGAACTCCTGACCATGAGGTCATCAAAGAAAACTTCCCATATCTCACTAGAGAGGCGACTGTTCAAGTGCAAGAGAAGAGAACACCCGCATGGTATCACATGAGAAGACCATTCCCAAGACACAGATGAGTCTGCCTCCACAGATCAAGCATGAAAAAAAAAATCCTAAAGGCAGCAAGAGAGAAATATCAGAGCAAGACCCATCAGAACTGCTCAAGACTTATCTGCAAAAACACTACAAGCCAGAAGGGACTGGACTCCCATTTTTAGTGTTCTCAAAGACAAGCAAATCCAACCAAGAAGGTCCTACCCTGCCAAGCTAAGCTTCATCAGTGCTGGAGAATTAAAATCCTTCCCAGACATTCAATCCCTAAGAGAATATGCTGTCTTCAGACCAGTCCTTCTCAAGATGCTTAAGAAAGTGTTGAACAGGCCGGGTGTGGTGGCTCACGCCTATAATCCCAGCACTTTGGGAGGCCGAGGTGAGAGGACTGCCAGAGCCAACATCTCTACAATGAATCAAAAAGTTAGCCGGGCATGGTGGCACATGCCTGTAGTTTCAGTTACTTGGAAGGCTGAGGTAGAAGGATCACCTGAGCCGAGCAGGTCGAGGCTGCGGTGGCTGGGAGCATGTCACTGCACTCCTGCCTGGGTAACAGAGTGAGACTTCAACTCAAAAAAAAAAAATGTTGAACACAGAAAAACAAAAATGGTCATACCCATCATCACAGAAGTACGGGCATGCACAGAGTTAACAGAGCATACAGAGCACTCACAAAATATACACATATATTTTAAAAAGTAGCCAGGCGTGGTGGCTCACACCTGTCATCCCACACTTTGGGAGGTAGAGGCAAGAGGATTGTCTGAGCCCAGGGGTTCGAGACCAGCCTAGACAACTTGGCGAGACATAGTCTCTACAATAAATCAAAAAGTTAGCTGGACATGCTGGCGTGCCCCTGTGGTCCCAGCTACTTGGAAGGCTGAGGCGGAAGAATTGTCTGAGCCCAGCAGGTCGGGGCTGCAGTGGCCATAAGCGTGCTACCATATTCCAGCCTGGGTGACAGAGTGAGATTCCAACTCAAAACAAACAAACAAACAAACAAACAAAAAGACTGATGATCACAAAATAGCAACATTGCTGGGTCCATAAATGCAGTTACATTAACATGATGTATAATTATACCATGAGAGGTAAATTATTTCAAATATATTAGAGTAGTTGTAAGAATTAAACTAAAATTACCGTAAAGGGGGTGGCATATAAGTGTTCAGTGAACGGTTGTGATAATGATGAAGAGGGAGAGGGAGAGAGACGGAGGAGGGAGAGGGGAGGCAGAAGGAAAAAGAAGAGGGGAAGACAGGCAGCAGCAGAAGAGAAAGAGGGAGGGAGGCGGACGCCATGGCCTGGACACCGGGCATTTAGTCAGGGACACAGGACAGCCAGGCACACAGTAGGTGCTCAATAAAGGTCCACTGCATTCCCCGCCCTGGGCTTTGCTCACCGCCCTGCCTCAACTGTCCATGTGGAGACCGAGGTATCCAGGTGAAGAGGCCTTCTTCCCCAGGTCTCATACCTCGATGGCTGAGTCACAGTGGGGACCCTGGCCTTCCCAAGTCTCTGCTCTCCAGGCGTGTCCCCCAGTGAGCCCTGGGGCCCGCATGGGCCTCAGCTCCCCAGAATGGCTCTGCACTAGCCGGCCCACAGGCCCCAAGGCCCTGGGGACCTCACTTGCCTCTCCAAGGGGTCTGCTGGGCATGGCCAGCTTTACCCAATCGGCCCCCTACGTCCCCCAGCTCCACGCCCTCCTGCACAGCCAGGGTGGTCCAGCAGCCACAGTCCCACACCCGCCCCCCACCCCACTCTCAGTGGCCGCCCTTCCCCCCTCCAGTCAACGCCCCTCACGGGGACAAACCCAAGCCTCCCCTCTTGCCTTCAGCAACACCCCCAACCGGTGCCATCCTGGGCAACTTGGGCAATGACCAGGAGCCTCGGCCACTTACCCCAGGACCTTCATAGAAGGCACTTTGGGCCTCCCCGGGGTTATCCAGGAGGTCATCACTGTCGAGCTGCAACAAGACCCGCCCCCACCCAAGGCCAAATGTCAGCGGGGCAGAGACCAATTTAGGGTCACTCGAGGCAGGGGATGGGAGGGGGGTGTGGGGCAGAGGGAGCTCGGCCCCAGCAAGGCAAGGCTAGGCTGCAGGCTTAAAACCCAAAGCAGCCCCAGCTCCGAGACCCTTGCCCGTCCTCCAGTCCCTCCTGACAGGTCTGCCTTGAACTGAGAATCCTGCTGCCACACCTTTGCCCAAGCTGCGTGCCCTGCCTGTCAACCCCGTCTCTTTGGTGGTACAGCCTTCAGGGGCAGTTACATGTGCCACCTCCTCCCAACAAGCCACCCCTTCTCACTAAGAGCTCCTTTCTCTAAGCAGCCCCAGTGCCTGGCATGCCCACCGTCTGGGCACCTGACATGCCGTGTTGTGCCATCTCTGGAGGAAGGCACTGGTTCTCACTCCCAGGGCATCTTCAGTACCCAGAACAGGCCTCAGCACCCACCTAAGCGCCCAGTGAATGTTTGTTCGTGGCTGAAGCCCCCCTCACACCTCTATCCAGGGGACATCTCGCCAGAATCCCGGTTTATATATCCAGCAGTGCCACCCTGACTTCTGGAATCTGCCCCCAACTCCCCATCGCAGAAAATGGCACCGCAGTCCACTCAGCTGCTCAAGCCAAAATCTGGGTGTCATTCTGGCCGCGCTCTCCCCTCAACAGCTGGCCCACCAACAGCAGGTCTAGTGGACTCCACCTCCCAACAGATCTCAATCTAGAGCTTCGTGCCTCCCCACAGCCAGCACCAGGGCCCAGGCTGCCACCACCACCCTATTGCCCTCGCCACTGCCCCATAATTCCTTGAGGCTTCTCCTTTCAAGAGGTGGGGCTCAATGCCCCTCTGAGTGTGGGCTGGACTTGGTGACTCGCTTCTAGCCCATACTGTGTGATCGAAATGAGAGTGTGTAATGTCTGAGGCTAGGTCATGAAAGGCACTGCGGCCTCCTCCCTGCCCTCTCTCTGGGATCACTCACTCAGGGGAAGCCCACTGCCACGACGTGAGGATGCTCAAGCAGCGCTATGGAGAGCCCATGTGGTGGGAACTGAGGCCTCCCGCCAACAGCCACAGGAACAAGTCCTGTGGAAGCCCACACGCTGGCCCCAGGCAAGGCAGCCCAGTCCACATCCCAGCTGCAACCTCACTTAGAAGCCTGACCCAGACCTCCCAGCTGAACCACTCCCAATTTCCTGACCCTCTGACACCACAAGAGCTCAAACAGATGTTTAAGTCACTACGTGTGGGGACAACCTGTTACAGAGCCATACATAACTAATACAGCTCCTCACAGCTTGATAGACTTCTATTCTTCCTCACTCTGCTCCACTCTATGGGAAGCAACACAGATACATCAGTGTCTTGCTAAAGAGCCCACCAGAGCTGCCTGTCACATTCAGAATGAAAATCAAAACTCCTCTATCAGGGACTCCCAGGCCTGGTGACTTGTGTCTACTATAGCATCACTTCCTACTAGTTTCTGCTTCAGTTTGGACCCACCAGCCTTTCTGTTCCTCAAAGATGTTTTAAGTGTTTCCATCTTTGCGCTTGCCCTTCCTGCTACAGGGGCACCTGGCCTGGCCACCTCCCTTTGTTCCTTCAGGTCTCACCTTCAAGGTTACCTCCCTAGAGTGCCCCCTCTCTGATCCAACTAGCTAAAAGAGCCCCTGCACCCCATTCATTTTGTTTTAAAGGATTTTGTGCAAGTGACATTATTTTTTGTCATACTCTGCATGGGGCTTTACTGTTACTGGATTTTTTTTTTTCTGCCAAGGAGATGTATCCAGCATGAGATCAGGGATCTGCTGTTGGTTTTGCTCACTGCCTTAACTCCAGCACTGGGCCTATAGAAAGAAGGCACAGGGGCAGATGTCTACCAAGTCGAGGGGATGTATCTCTCACTGTCTCTTGCTCCCAATGACACAACCCCTTACCCGGGACTTACCTTCTCGGATCCATGCAAGAAGTCGTTGAGGGCCTGAGGGTCACTGAAAGAGAGAAGAGGAAGAGACACTGAGGAGGCAAGGAGCTGGGGAGGGGAGGGGAGGGACGGGGGAGTCTGAGACAGAGGACAGGAGGTGGGGAGCCCATTACTCACCAAATCACGTCTAGTAAGCATCTCCCATCCTCATCATCCATCGCCACTGGATGGGGTGGGGTCAGGAAGAGGGCGAGGGAGACAAGGTTAGATTTTGGCAGCTTGCCCGGCCCCCTCCCTTCAGGGGAGCCCCCGGAAGGGTCAGCATTTCCATTCCCTCGAGTCCGTGGGGGTAGATGGGGGTGATGAGCACCTTCCAGGTGCCCTCCCAGCCAGAAACTCCTGACCAGGGACAGCAGTCTTTCCCTCCCCTGCCCCTCCCCCAAACTCTCCCAGCACGAGAGGAGGAGGAGGAGGAGGAGGATGTGGTGACACCAAGCAAGACTCAGTGAGCCCTGGCTGTGTGCTTCAGGCAGGTGTAGCTAAACGCATCCTCTCCTCTGCCGCCCCTACTCTGCAGATGGAGGACTAGAGCCATGAGGCAGTCATTCCTGTCTCCCAGCCAACAGGAAGCAGAGCCAGGCCTCGAACCCAAGAAGTCCGGCTGCCAAGCCTGTGCGCCTCACCGCCACACTGCCTTGCCTCCCTGGCCCAGAGTCAGGGTGTGGTGGGCGCCTGTCCTACCTACGAGTGGCGGAGGGAGTGAGGGAGTGAGTGGAGGCGGCAAGAAGGGGCCGTGTGGCTCCAGGTTCTGGGCCTCCCTGGAGGACAGACGCAGGAGGGGAAGGGGGTGGGGGAGCCCAGGCAGAAGCAAGGCTGAGCGACTCATGAGGATGGCGCTCTGAGTCAGAGAAGCCTCCCAGCCAGGCTGAGCCTCATGGGCAGAATGATGAGGATGCGGACGGCTAACGTGTGTCGAGCACTTGCCCAGTCCAAGCGCTTCCGTGTTAGCTTGTTCAACCTACGGGGAAGGGACAGTGTGCTCCCATGTAACACCTGAGGAAATGGATGCACTCCACACTTGCCCATCCGCCCTCCCATATTTCCAGCCTTCTACCTTCCCAACAGCCCCCCAGTCCTCCAGAACAGTTAAGCACCCAACCCTCCCTCCAAGCTCCCTCCTTCCATCATCATCCATTTCTCCATCTCTCCACCCTTCCAAACATCCATCCATCCACCTACTCACCTCTCCACCCTTCCAAACACTCCTCCATCCATCCACCCACCCATCCCTCCATCCACCCATCTATCCTTCCAAACACGCCTCCAACCGTCAACCTACCCATCCCTCCGTCCACCCATCTCCCCATCCTTCTATCCCTCCAAATACCCATCCGTCTACCTACCCATCCCTTCATCCTTCCAAACACCCATCTACTTACCCATCCCTCCCTCTTTCTAAACATCCATCCATCCACCTACCTACACATCTCTCCATGTCTCCATCCACTCATCTCTCCATCCTTCTAAACACCCATCCATCCATCTACCTACCCATCCCTCCATCCGCCCATCTCCCCATTCCTCTGTCCCTCCAAACACCCATCCATCTGTCTACTTACCCATCTCTCCATCCTTCCAAACACCCATCCATCTGCCTACCCATCCCTCCATCTTTCTAAACATTCGTCCACCTACCTACACATCTCTCCATCCACCCATGTCTTCATCCTTCTCAACATCCATCCCTTCTTCTATCTATCCATCCCTCTGTTCTTCTCAACATCCATCCATTATTCTCTCCTTCCCTCCATCCTTCCAACCATCCATCTCTCCACCCATCTACCTACCCATCCCTCTATCCTTCCAAATATCCATTCATCTACCCTCCCTCCATCCTTCCAAGCCTCCATCCATTCCAAGATGGAAGGGAAAAACTTCTGTCCCTGCCTTTTGCCAAACTCCCAAGCCAACCCATCCTTCCAACCACTCATCTTCCTTCCGTTGCCTCTTGTGTCCTTCTGCCCTCTCCTCCCAAGAGTGTACACCGGACACAAAGAGGAAGAAGACACCATCCCTGGGTGGTGGGACTTTAGCTCTCAGGACCATGGAGCTCTTACTCTTTTTCCTTGGGCACAGGTCCTTGTCACCGAGGATGTGATAACTGTCATAGATTACCACCTCCACCCAAGACTCCCACATACAAAGTCGGACATGTATTATCAGCTGGTTCCCAGTCCCCTACCCTGACAGCATTCTCTGAACTCCCCTAATGAGGCATCTAGGAGTAACTGCCACCCCCAAGTCCACCATCTTCAAGTGCCCTGTAGCATCTTGAAGAGTTTGGGACAGGGACTTCCCGTGGCAGGTTAGGCCTATCTCTGGACACTCTGGAATCTGGTGAAAACTAAAGACCCTCTTGCCAGAGACATGTATGTGGGTCAAAAATGCCACATGTCCCCAGAGCCCTGCACACCAAAAACTCTCCTTCCCAGAGCTGGCCATGGGGACTAACCCCAGAGAGGTCCCTCCTGGGCTCCTGCCACACTCTGAGGAGAGTGAGGACACACTCTCACCTACTCCCCACCCAAACCCACTATGCCTCCTCCTCCTTGTTGCCGGGTCCACAGCCTGTGACCCCCTGCCCTCCCCCCAGCCCATGGGGGCCACGAAAAGGCAAGATCTGCAAAGAATCTGGAGAAAAGCAGGGAGGAGAAGGGAGGAGGACTTTGCCTGCAGCTGGTGTGGAGGCAAGGGGACAGTCCAGTGATCCCAGGGCCCAGGTGGGAAGGGGAGAACTGGAGGCTGCTGCTAAGCCAGGTTCTGCCAGGAAGGCAGGTTCCTTCCTCAGCCAGGGGCTGAGGGGATCTGGGGAGGCAGAGGGAGGAACAGCTGCCCCTGCAGAATGATCGGGGACACCCCCTGGTTACCTGTGCTACAAACGAATCATGAAGGGAAGGAGGGGGCGTCCACTCCAGCTCTACGCGGGGCCCCCAGCTGGGGACTTGGAGAGGGTCCTCTTGGGGGCCAGCTGTGGAGAGAGAGAGACAGACTGTGAGGGGAAGGCCAGTGGAAAGGAATAAGCCAGAGTTAGAGACAGACAGGCAGAGATACTGGGGGAGGGGGAGGAGGACAGAAGGAGGGGCGGGCTGAAGTGGCCCTGTCAAGAGGGAAAGGAAGTGAGGCTGGGCGTGGCAGCTCACACCTGTCATCCCAGCACTTCGGGAAGCCGAGGTGGGAGGATCGCTTGAGCCCAGGAGTTCAAGACCAGTCTGGACAACTTGTCTTCACAAGTAAAAAATAAAAAATAAGCCAGGCACAGTAGTTCACGCCTGTAGTCCCAGCTACTTGGGAAGCTGAGGTGGGCGGACTGCCTGAGCCCAGGAGGTCGAGGCTGCGGTGAGCCCTGTTTGTGCCACTGCACTCCAGTCTGGGCAACAGAGGGAGAATCCAACTTAAAAAAAAAATTGCCAGGCACAGTGTGGCTCACGGCTGTAATCCCAGCACTTTGGGAGGTGGAGGCGAGAGAATTGCCTGAGCCGAGGGGTTTGAAACCAGCCTGGAGAACTTGGTGAGACCTCGTCTCTACAATCAATCAACAAATTAGCCAGGCACGGTGGCATGTGCCTGTAGTTCCAACTACTTGGAAGGATGAGGAGGACAGATCGCCTGAGCCTAGCAGGTCGATGCTGGAGTGGCCGTGAGCGTGCCACTGCACTCCAGCCTGGGTGACAGAGTGAGACTTGGATTCAAAAAATAAAAAGACAATTACAGCCAAGAGAAGTGGCTCACACCTGTATCCCAGCACTTTGGCAGGCGGAGGTGAGAGGAATGACCGAGCCGAGGGTTCAAGACCAGCCTGGGCAACTTGACGAGACCTGGGCTCTACAATTTTAATTTTAATTTTAATTTTAAGAATTAGCCGGTGTGGTGGTGCACGCCTGTAGTTCTAGCTACTTGGAAGGCTGAGGCGGAATGATGATCGCCTAACCCCAGCAGGTTGAGGCTGTGATGGCTGAGCATGCCGCTGTACTCCAGCCTGGGCAACAGAGTAAGACCCCAACTAAAACAAACAAAAACAAAACCAGGGACGTGATAAAGGAGAGAACAAAGACAAGTTTAAAGTCACATAGCACACCACTGTACACTACCACAGAAGCCTCGCACACACGACATGACACAACATCACACAATGGCCTTTACTGACACTTCAGTCTGACAAAATACAGCCAACCCTTGCTCCCTGCAGTAGGGAGGTTAGGTCACCCAGGACGCAGAATTGGCCAACCCCGAGCCGCTGCTCCTGGGGAAACCCGGGCCAGGCCCCACCACCCACTGGCCACATTTCCATCAGCATCCATCCCCTCAGTCTCTGTTTCTGTCCAGAGACGCCTTATCTAGCACACACGGTCGATGCTGGTGGCTGACGGCATGGAGCTCCCACCTGAGCACGAATCTTCCCTTAGTCACAGTCCAGCCTTCCTGCACTTAGGAACATGAGCCAGTGTTTCAGCACCGTGCTTGGGACCTTTGAACAGTGGAATCACCAACAAAAAGCACAAAGATGTGACGACATGCCATTACATGGACTGTGAGATGGATACTGGGTTTGCAATTGGAGTGGAAGCCAGAACGCAGAGTACCGCCTTGCACGACCAACCTCAGCTGGGAAGTTGTGAGTCGGGCAGCTCAAATTTTCTTGCCCCTCTATGCACATCCTGCTGTTCATTTTTTTTTTTTTTCGAGTCAGGTGTTACTCTGTTGCCTAGGCTGGAGGGCAGTGGCATAATCATAGCTCACCTCAGCTTCGATCTCCTTGGCTCAAGCAATCCTCTCTCCTCAACCTACCTCCCGAGTAGCTAGCTGGGTGCACATCATCTTGCCTACTTTATTATTATTATTATTTTGGAGAGACAAGGTCCTGCTATGTTGCCCAGGCTGGTCTCAAACTCCTGGCCTCAAGTGATCCTCCCGCCTCAGCTTCCCAGAGTGCTGGGATTATGGGCGTGAGCCACCACGTCTGGCCCGCTCCACCCACTTCTGCAAATGGCTGGGAAGACACTATTTGGGGGGTACAGGTGCTGTCAAGCAGGCGAATTCACAAGCGTGGCATCTGTGCAGGAGGACTGACGGTTGTAACAATGACAGCGGGTAACACCGGTCCCAGGCCACTGATGGCCAGGCACTGGCTTATGCACACTGAGTGCACGAACTCCCTCGCCTTCCCCAGGGTCCCTGAGGCTGGTGTTTTTACCATCCCCATCTGCAGATGAGGGAACAGACTCAGAGGTCAGTAACGCGGCCCAGATCCCACCACCAGCACGAGGCCAGGCTGGGATGCCAGCCTTGGCAGCCTCACTCCAGGGCCCCGCCCCTGGCTACCACCCCATCCCCAGCCCTTTCGCCCTGTGATTTCCCTTGAGATGCATGTAAATATGGCAACAATGTTACGATCACATCACAATGAGGGTGCGCGTGTCTGTTATCATTTTGTGCATGCCTGGGATGCTTCCGATTTGAAGAGAGGATATGGGGTTGGGAGCTAAGGAAGGGTCAGAGCAGCGAGCGGCTTTCCTTTTCCTCCCAGACCCCAAAAGGATCTGGAAAGCACTGTCAGGAGACTTTGGGACACTGAGCCTCTCCCTCTATTCCAGGCCTGAGGGGTTCACAAGCCCCAGGGTGGCTTCCCAGTCTTTCCTCCTCCCAGCTCTGGTTTCAGGTGTGACCCAAGCTCTGGAAACTTCCTGCCAGCAGAATTAGAGACAGCACAGCACGGTGGATAGCCTGAGGGTGAATTGCAAGATTTTTTTTTTTGAGTCCAGGTCTCTCTGTGTTGTCCAGGCTGGAGGGCAGTGACGCGATCACGGCTCACCGCAGCTTCAACCTCCGGGGCTCAGGCCATCCTCTGCCTCAGCCTCCTGAGTAGCTGGGACTACAGGTGTGCACCACCACACCCAGCTAATTTTTTTTTTTAGAGATGAGGTCTCATTATATTGCCCAGGCTGCTCTGGAACTCATGGGCTCAAGCAATCCTCCCACCTCAGTCTCCCAGAATGCTGGGATTACAGGTGTGTTTTCATTCCAATGGCAGTGTTAAAGAAATGAATGAAATTTTCTGGGAGAAATATTCTGTTTTGTGATTGACATGTGGGTTAGGCGGGCATTCAAAATGTACCATCTCAGACTTACACATTTTTACACATGTATATTTTACTTTTAAAAACAGTAAATAACCCTCTGTATCCAGCTGCCACCGCTACAGCCGCCTACCGAGGGGCGCACCTCCGAGGCCGCAGTTACACCCTGTACAACACCTTCAGGGCCGCTGCGCCCCTGCCCCCGATCCCGGCCTATGGCAGGGTGGTTATGCTGCATACCGCTACGCCCATGCTACTCCTGTCTCCAATGACAGTTACAGACGAGTTTATGCTGCCGACCCCTACCACCACGCACTTGCTCCAGCCCCCACCCACGGCGTTGATGCCATGAATGCTTTGGCACCTTTGACTGATGCCAAGACTAGGAGCCATGCTGATGAGGTGGGCCTTGTTCGTTCTTCATTGCAGGCTCATCTGTACCGAGGGGGACACAACCGTTTTGCTCCATACTAAATGACAAAACCATAAAAACCTTGCAGTGTGGGGAGAAAGGAAGCTTTCCGAGGCCTAAGTATTGCAATACATGCAGTAGTACATCATTTTAGCAACTCTAAAAAAAAAAAACAAAAATAAAAAAGAGGAAAAAAATTACATTTTTTAATCTTATACCGCAAAAAAAAGATAAATAAAAAAAAGAATATGCAGCGGTAGGTGGTGAGTAAAAGAAACAAGAGGAGCAGAACGCTGGTAACTGTCAGAGCTGGGGATGGGATCTGGGGCTTTCTTATACTGTTCTATCTACTTGGCATATTTTGGAAAATTTCCAGACTCAAAAGAAAAACACGCCGGGCTTGGTGCTCAGCCTGTAATCCCGCGCCTTTGGGAGGCTGAGGTGAGTAAATTGCCTGAGCCCACGGGTTCGAGACCCGCCTGGGCAGCGAGACCTCATCTCTACAACAAATAAAAAAATCAGCCAGGCGTGGTAGCACATGCCTGTAATTCCAGCTACTTGGAAGGCTGAGGCAGAAGGATCGCTGGAGCCCAGCAGGCGAGGCTGCGGTGGCCGGGAGCGGCCACTACACTCCAGTCTGGGCGACCGAGTGAGATTCCAACTCAAAAAAAAAAAAAGAAAAACACACGTCCACAGCAGGCAGGTCTGGGCTCCCCTGAGATGTCCCCGGGCTGGCATCCGTGTCTCCCATTGGGCTGATGGCAAGGGGCCCAGTGTGGGATGACGTGCCCGGCATAGGTTTGGGCCTCAAATCCCTGCTCTCCTACAAGCTGGCTGGGAGACTTTGTGCAAGGGAGTTTGCCTCTCAGGGCCTCAGTGTCCGCATCTGTAAAACGAGCATGATCACAGTCCCCATCTTTCATGTGGCAGGCAGAGTCACAGACAACAGGGCCTGGCCTGTGACTTGTGCACAGCGGATGCGGGTTTTGTTCTGGGTTTTTTTGTTTCTTTTCTTTTTTTTTGAGTCGGAGTCTCACTCTATTGCCCAGGCACGCTCCTCTCAGCCACCACAGCCTCGACCTGCTGGGCTCAGGTCACCCTTCCGCCTCAGCCTCCCAAGTAGCTGGAACCACAAGGTATGCGGCAGCACACTCAGCTAATTTTCTGATTTATTGTAGAGATGAGGTCTCGCCATGTTGCTCAGGCTGGTCTTGAACCCCTGAGCTCAGGCAGTCCTCGTCTCTGCCTCCCAAAGTGCTGGGATTATAGGCGTAAGCCATCGCGCCTGGCTTCTTTCTTATTTTCTAGAATAGAGACAGGGTCTTGCTATGTTGGCCAGGTGCCCAGGCTGGTTGAACTCCTGGGCTCGAGTGATCCTCCCGCCTCAGCCTCCTGAGTAGCTGGAACCACAGCCGCCTGCCACAGTGCCGGGCTCAGGTTTCTGGGCTTGACCTTATTTATTTATTTATTTTTTTGAGTTGG